GGTATCATGTTATACTTTTCAAATGTGAGTGGTTTAATACTCAACCAAGATTTTTTAGGAAGAAAAAGATTCACCGGATTCTTTGTGATTATCATCTCACTTCAGTGAATACAACCAATGTGTATAAAGATGATCCGTATGTGCTTGCTAAACAAGCCCAACAAATATTTTATCTTGACGACCCTAAATTGGGTTCTAGTTGGAAAGTAATTCAGAAGATTCGACATAGACATGTGTGGGATGTTCCTGAAAATGAAGCCGCTCATGAAGTTGAAACAATCTATGATGAAGGAGTAGACCAAGATGGTGATGATATTGTGATAACAAGTCGAGATGAGAATGAATTACCAAGCACTTCACTTCGTAGAGATGATGCAGAACCTGAAATAGTTGAGGAGGAGATTAGTTTGGAACCAATAGGAGTTGATGATTATGAGGAAGTTTTGACTGATGATAATTCAATTGAAGAACAATTGTCAGGGGATGAGTCAAATAGTGTTCACAGTGATGATTATAGTGATTTGGATTGACATTTTTTAATACATGTTCAATTTATATTTTTTTTTATATGTACGAGTTTGATTCTTTTGGTAGTTGAAAGTATGAGCGGCACTCTTTCCTACCCCGGAGTTTTGTCCTACGTGGTTTTCTCCGGGAGGTTTTAACGAGGCCACCTTTAACTTGTTGTTCCTCACTATGTATTGTTTCATGGTTTTTGAATGGAATTTATTTTTTTACTCCAAAGAACTTATCTTTTTGTTTTTAGTGGTAAGGTTTTTCATGTCCCCCAATTTGGTGTACTACAATTTTTAAATGAGAGATTGGTTTTTATTAATTTTATGTGCAGATCAAGAAGATGGTAGGTAAACATAAGAAGCAAAAATTTGCTAAACAACCACTTACTCCACATTCATTAGCACAACCACCATCTAGTGCACCACATCAGTCGCAACCACCACACACTACTAGAAATATGGCTACTAGCCACTGATTATTTAGATTCAAATTCATAAAAGTGCCTTGTGATTTTTTTTGGATACTAATTCTCCCACCATGCTTATTAAAGGTATTTGGGATAGGTATTGATGTGTAATACAAAAAAGTATTTTTCATTATTTTTCCTTAATATTTGGGCATTTTTATCAATCCCAACTTGTTATTATCAGTCCCAACTTATCAAAAGAAGCCGGCTCCATTCACAAATAACACAAACAAGCTTGGCTGGCTCCCTTCACTCAGCTGCTTTGGCATTTGTCCTTAAATTGGATACTGATTTGATTGCTTTTGGTAGTTTCTTCCATTGGATATTTTCACACAGCCCAATGTTAAAACACATTTTTTATTTCTCAACTTCAAACACTTTGGACATAAGCAAAAGAGAGAAAAAAGAATGCTTTGTTTCACTTCTCCCTCTCTCTTCTTTTTTCTCTTATTCTTTTTGCGTGAATCACAAAGCCATCTGGTCACAAAAGACTAGGCTGCGGCTTGAGATCCCGATCTGGAAATTGAAGAGTTGGAGCAGTGTGACTTGGTAAGATGCCTATCTGGAAGTTGATGAGAGAAAATCTGGGACAAATACCGTGATGGTTTCGTTATGGAAGAAGGCGCTGATGAACTGGTAATTGAAAAATCATAATATCATTCTTTTTCAGTGTGCCTTTATTTATTTTTAGATATTTATAAATAAACCCAATCCTAGACATGTATTTATAAAAAAACCCAAACATTATTTAAACATAGAAACACACCCAAAATCAACCCCACAATCAACAATTATATATTTTTTGGATGTATTTATAAATGGGTTTTGAGTGTGTGTAATGATGGGTTTTGGGTGTGTTTATAAAGTGTTTTGGGTGTTGGGTTTTTTTATAATTTCAGCCCCCATTTTGGGTGTTTTAGTGAAAGGTCTGATATATATTTATATATGGCTGTTACTGAATGCTTTTTTTCTTTTTCTTTTTTAATTTTTGAGGAAAGGCAATGGAGAGCTTGGAAAGCACATTGAACAGAGGAGCTTCAAAATCTTTGTAAGAAATTTTTTATATAATTATTTTGTATAAAATTTGGTTTTAGTTTAGTTACATTAACCTGTTCATTATTTTTTTCAGCTCCTTCACACGATTGGAGCAACCCTAGATCTAAAAGGAGAAAATGCCAGGATCACCTAATGATCCAAAGGAAATACTGTAAGGCTCATTTACAGTTGGATATAATATATATTTCTAATAAAGTTTAGGGTTTTTTTTTAATTTTTTTATCAAAAGAAAGTTTAGGGTTTTCGGTATATGATTCTCTGCTCATATGGGGATTTTCTGAATTTATTTATTTTTATAAATACATGTCTAGGATTGGGTATTTGACTAAATATCTCTTATTTTTTTCAGCTCCTTCACACGATTGGAGCAACCCTAGATCTAAAAGGAGAAAATGCCAGGATCACCTAATGATCCAAAGGAAATACTGTAAGGCTCATTTATAGTTGGATATAATATATATTTCTAATAAAGTTTAAGGTTTTTTTTTTAATTTTTTATCAAAAGAAAGTTTAGGGTTTTCGGTATATGATTCTCTGCTCATATGGGGATTTTCTGAATTTATTTTCTTCAGGTTTGTGACTTCAAATGGTTGGTGATCCTCTAAGAAATGGTTGACTTCGAGGACGAGGAATTGTTGCATATATGGCTTGCAATTTTTGTAGGAGTGATTCGAACCCAAAAATCCATCTTGAAAATTAGGAATTAATATTCAGAGAAATGGTGCATAAATTTGGATATATATTTTTTTTTGGATATATGGAATTGGGGACTGATGGGTTTAATTGTATTATTAGTTAAATATATGTAATAAAGTAATGAGATAC